CAATTTTACACCTCCGTTTCTTGAAGAGTTTCTCGTGCGCGTCGACTACGGTAAGCACGCCAAGCTAAGACGTTAGATTCTTTGTGAAACACTCCAAGTCGACTTCAGCTAAGTCGACCTAGCTAGGCCACCCAGCTCGAGTAAGACGTCTACGGATTTAAGATTCTTTGTGAAACGGGGGCCTGTATATGTTCTACCCTAGCGGAGGGAACAATCACTTCATAGTAGGCAGTCCAACGTCATGGCACTAGCGATGTTCTATCTTTAGGGTTATAACGATTTCCAGCCTTCTTTTACACGTGAAACATTTAATTATGCATCTCTGCCAGCCTTCGCGATCACCCATTCATTCATTCAGATGTCATAAGCATGAAAGAGGTGCTAGTGTTACAAAACTACTTGGACGAGAATTCTACCTACATTAAATTATCTCACTGTTTTCAGCTAGGAGCCCTGTCAGCGCTGTCAGGATCCCAGCTCCGAATTTCTTTATTTTGATGTAATGAAATTCAAATTTATCTCAAGCGTGAGTCGACCAGCCCCAAACACGCAAGTATAAAAATAAAACATTAACCTACACGTTATGGTAAATGGTAGGAGTCAGCAATTTAAAACAAATATAATATTGGCAATAATACGGTAATATACTGAAGTAATATAACGATTAACCAATTTATTTTTGCATTAGGAGGCAATAATATTCAGGAGTTGCAACCACACCGTGTGTCGGGTGAGAGATAGATGAGAAAGCTGAACAATGTTGCGAACACTTTGGCCGTTGGAAAACTGACAAGTAAAACTGCTTTTTTTTGGGGGGGTGGGGGGGCGTCTGAAAGACCATTTTTTCGGAGATTTCATTAGTACAGAGCTTTGTTTACCGTAGTCAGGGCAGAGCACAGAGTGGTACTCGACGTCAAAAAAAATATTTCTTGAAAACATATTGGAGCCTTGTATACAAGTTGACACGGGTACCAGTATCTTTTGAATAAACGTATGAACATCACGCAACGAGCGATGTATTCCAACGTGTAGCAGTGTCAAAAAGACCTATTTAAAACAATTCATAGCTCCTAATAAATATGCAAAAGAAAACTTAGGGTTCATTCCCATTAAAGTATCGCTGTAAGGAGATGGATCCAACTCCGCGGGGATTCTCGCTGAATGCAATCAGTTAAACAGATTAACACGACTCCTCTTTTTTCCCCAATTTACCCCTATAATCACCACCTTTTCTGTATTCTACTCTTCATCAGGAGCTGTTTAACTGATTGCAATCAGTGAGAGTCCTTGCTGAGTTGAATCGAACTACGTAGACCGATAGTTTCAAAGAGAATGAGCCCCAAGACCCGTGATACAGAAGGGCCCTAACTGGAAAGGAACACGCAAGTGATGTGGCGGTCTAGCTTTTATGTAATATACAAAAAACAAGAGCAAAAATATTTCTGCTTACAGCTCAGGTGTGTTTTGTGACCCCACTCACGGAAAGGAGAGAACATTATATGGATTTCATTTGGAATAAGACAATTTGTTCCCTGTGATTGCAGACGTTCTTTTTAATTGGCAAAGGTTGGTTTACACAGGTAGGTATGCTAGCAAAGAAGTTTTACACGAGCAGCTCTAAAACTGGACTTGACTACGTACCAAATGAACACTGATTTATTTAAGACACGCAAAGTCCGTTCAACCTTCATATTGCAAAAATTAATCATCATGGAAATTACGTCACTTAAAAATTTGGGCTTGAAACCAGCCACACACTAAGACGCTACTCTTTACTAGAGGCCAGTACATGTACAGTACTGGCGCCATTTCAAATTCTCGTTCACAGTTGAAAAAAGTTCATATGTAATAAGCCAGAGACGTATCCGTGAAAAATATCAATATATAGGTCGATAGCGGAGGACAAAAGGCAAGATCATAATGATATCATTAGCATATCCTGCCTATTTTGGATATAATATAACGAGCCTGTTGATAGCTCTAAATAAAGCATGTATTTCTACGTCATCAGAACTAATCGTAATTTCACTCTCTGTCTTTGTCGTGTTTACATGGGAATCGTCTGTCGATTCAACGTAAAATCAAGTGAGATTGCGCGGGGTTTGGAGGAGAATTGTGTCAGAAATAATGGCAGAATAGTAATGGCGGCGTGACAATGAACAAAAGGTGACAGGATTTATTAACAGGTGGTCTTCTGTGTGTTTTCGCGTTTAAGAATGCTCTGTCGCATTACAGTCTATTGCAACACGAATTTACCAAATTTTACGTATCACTTTTGCATAGCTTTCTAAGACCCCATTCCCACAGATTTTAGATCGATCTATCCCCGTGGGGAGTCTCACTAGATTACTGTCAGCTTAGCCGGCTTAAATGTCTGTCCCGCCTACTAAAAGCTGTAAGGGGGTAATTAACTGTTGTGCGCGCTCGGCTGACTGCAATTTAGCGTGAACCCCAAGGGAGTTAGGTCGATCCGGATGGATCGATCTAAATCTCTGGGAATGCACTCTAAGACGACACGGTTCCCCCAAGTTTATAGTCCCTTATAACATCACGTATTGCAGACAGCCTCGTTTTATGCAATCTAGTATGATTTCCATTTTGCATCGGGGTCTGTAGATGCTAATCGTTTCTTATTCCATGTCCTTTGTCAAACCATTTGAAGCCCCCTTCCCCCCCCTACCCCCCCCCCTGATATCATCTCCTCCTATTATCAAATACATTCCCCCAAGTGCTGATATGTTAACAGATTTCATGGTTAATAAACACAACTGTTAATTCACCTCACCACCCGTCCACAAAATGTCATGTTCTGAATATTCAGTAGGCGAGATGATAACGGCGATAGGCCTAAACGATCTCCTCCTAAACTTTAGCGTTTTACGAAAGATTTTTCTAACAGAGCTCCTGCTTTCACTTACTTCTAAATGTCAATTTTGTGGATCTTTGGTCGAAAATTGTTCTAAAAATTCCATTCGTACAACTGCACGGACAAGCGGAACTATAGGTCTTACGTGAGACATCATGTGCATGAATGGCTAGTCTTGTACGTTACACACAGCGGGCATCTCGTGTATTTAGTATATTATGCATTTGCATTTATCATTTCGCATTGAAGCGTCACCCTCCTGGAAGCGAAATACAGGGTCAAGCACCCTATTGTTCGAAGCATCGAGATTAAACTTACGTATAGATACTAACAGATCTACTCATATGGATTTTTAGGTGACACTGAAAAAGGTGGAATCACTGCACTGGTTACCAAGCTAAATGGTGGATACGCAACAGCTGAACTGTCCTTATGGGTCGCCTGCTACTGAAAGTGACGTCAGTGAATAGCATGTTTAGAGCAGGACAGTAGAAGAGCATGGGGGAGACGACTTGTCACCTACACCATGGAGCAGCGGGTCTTTTTCTGTCGGTGTTGTCGGCTCTGGCACTGTCAGTGTCGGCACTTCTCGTCGGCAGTTACAAAGACGTCTCCGTCCTCGTGTTTTTGGCGTTCCGACACGTTGTAATTTTTGTTCTCGCTGCCCCCTCCTGGCTCTGTGTTGCTAAGCAACAAGATTCTGGACGGGAAAAAATTGATGAAGAGGTCGCCAGTGAAGATTCAAAGTTGCTACATCTTGAAAAAGTTGATTCCGAGACTCGAAATTCCAGCAGATATAATTATCAGGAATGGGAGAACGACGATTTTGACTTTAAAAGTGTGTTTAAGAGAGAAAACTCCGATATGAACAATACTGAGAGAGAGAATCAAATCCTTAAAAAGGGAAGGGCATCCCAAGAAATTTCCCAGGGGAATCTCGAGGAGGCAATCTCCGAGAAACAATTCAAAGAGTCTTTAGAAATTTCCGAGACTAAAGGGCCTGAGAAAGAGGCTTCAAAAGAGTCAAATGAAGCTGCGGTGGAAAGCTGTGACAGACCAAAATCAGACTCAAGCATCGAAGCAGCGAAACAGAAGGCACTGAATGACGAGGAGATTATTCCCCTGACGGGCATGAAGTCGATACAAGACTGTGTCTTCGTTGTTATACGGAGCTGCATGGGGTATTTGACGGCGTGGTGTGCGTTCTCTGCTTATAGATACCTGCCTCTAGGGGACGCAGCAGTGCTAGAGTATACCGCCCCGATTTACTCTGGGATTCTGGCCTGTGTTATACTGAAAGAACCGTATGGCGTTGTGGAGATTTGCTCTACGCTGGTTATGTTGGCAGGTAGGTCCTAGAGAAGGTGAGGGGGGGGGAGGGGGGGGGAGAAAGAAAAGGGGGAAAGGAAGGGGGTGCGATATGAAAGACACACCCGGACGTGCTTTTACTCTACAAAGTAGCCTTGGTTTCTCACGGTTTTAAGAAGTAATAAAAACCAATAACAACAACAACAACGGCAATAATAAAAATGTGTATTTATTTATTTATTTATTTATTTATTTATTTATTTAAGGTCTATAATCCAAATAAGTTGAATACACTTTGCAATGTTAGATACAGTTTAACAAAATAGTATGTAAAATGAAAAAGTAGTGCTTTCCTCACATATAAATTATCAACAAACACGCAAGAGCCATAAAATCTCAGTTGTAAATTGTCTTCAATTTTACATCATAGTCCTCAATTTCCTTTTAAAAGTCTCAGGGGAAGCTTACCTGCGTCATGTACTCGGGTCTCTTGAAATACATAACGCATATTTTATGCTGGGTACATTTGTGTGTTACATGTAACCGGTTTAATATGATGAAAAAACTATATCATCGACCCAGTCAGGTTTCACTATTCTCAGTTATACCCCCTTTACACTGGACGGCGTCCTTTCTGCGTCCTTTCTGCGACCATGAAATTTGGCATCGCTGTGGTCTTAATAAGTAGGCACAAGCATTGATTTTGTATCAGAATGAATGCTCAATGATCGGCCAGTTGTCGGCACGTAAAGTATTATAATTTTTTAACTCTCAAATGGGGCCGTACTGCTGGACGCAGAAAGGACGCCGTCCAGTGTAAAGGGGCCCTTAGAGCCTTAACTGACTGATAACGACAACTGGCTGATAACAATGTTTTGAGTAACTGACTAAACTCAATAGTTGGAGTTGACGATGAACATTAATTAAAGTGAGGGTTCAGCCAAACAAAGCCCTACGCTTATGTTATAGTTTAAACCTTAATTAGTTAACACCTTTAATTGAGAAGGCATAATGGAATTTGACTTATTAGAATTTTACATTCGGTGTACATTTGAACAAGGACCCATTGTAACCCAAATGGGGCACTGTTAGATAAGGCTTAATTGTAAAATATGTGACATACAGTTTTAGATGAATTTCTGACGTTGTTTTTACACCCGTTCTCTTTCACTCTGCAATATCGGTTAAATTTCAAAATTTAGTCAGATATAATATGCCTTTTGCATTGCCGCCTTCTACAAAGACCACAAACAAGTTTATCTCTGAACACAGGGTGCGCTAGTAACCTGTTACAAAATGTTGTAAGCACAGTGTGATTTTGCACAGTATTTTAGGGGGACCCTGATACCAGAAAGTAAAAACATAGGCTCTATTCCCATAGATTTTAGATCGATCTATCCCCGCGGGGAGTCTCACTAGATTACTTTCAGATAATCCGACTTAAATGTCCATCCCGCCTACTACAAGCTGTAAGGGGGTAATTAACTTTCGTGTCCGCCCGGCTGACAGCTATTTAGCGTGAACCCCCAGGGAGTTAGGTCGATCTAAAGTAGGTCGATCTAATCTATGGAAATGGGGTGATACATAGAAGGGTCGGCTTCCATATTCGACCGCGATTGGAGGATTTTACTGATGAATGGTTTCTGTGCGATGCGCACCCCTGCGTTAAGTTCAGGTAAACAAAGTTGGGCTAGCGTTATGTCATCTGGAGTACTTGGTCCGACGCTTTATAAAGCTTTAATAATAATAGAGAAGTGCTGCTAAGCAGCTTTAAAACTTGAACCAAGGCAGGACTCGCTTCCATAGAGTATCGAAGACATAATTAAGAGCCGCTTCCATTTCTCCTCGTTTCATGGCAAATGGCAAGTCAATGTTCTCATAAATTAATGACGCAAATTTAAAAAGAGTTTAGGATGCTTTGCAACAAGGCTTTTCCCAACGAACCGCCCAGCCGTCATTTGGACTGCCGCTGGCATCACCTGACGGCCTATACATTCAAAGACGGCTGGACGGCATACGATTTTTTTAAATGACGGCTTAGTTTGTCGAGGCAGCAGAGGACGTCGTACGAAATTCTTTTAAAGCAATTTGACGTACCCAGCTTGTATGATGCGTCCCAGTTGAATGATACTACTTTGTATAAGCAGTTTATTGGGGTTCTGCGCCAGTTGCCTTGTGCCCGAAAGCTACGAGTTTTACATCGCGCATAAGATGGACGCTAAGTATCATATTAACAAGCGGCAGCCTAATTTCAACGATAAATGGTAAAAAGTCTTCTTGTTGCAGGCCAAATTTAACGTTCATGTACAGCAATCCATTGCTGAGCACGCTACAACAAGTGTCAGTTTTCGTTTAAAATGGGGCCTAATAAGTAACTCCAAAATTTGGTAGTCAGTCAGTTCTTTACCAGTTTACGCCACAAAGGCATTTTATATTAAATTCATGTAATTTACTGAACCATGGAATAGCAGTAAAGTACAATAAACAGTCTATTTAATTTCCTGGCGTTAATTCGTTTCAAAAACGGCTCCAGGAGCAATACAGTCCATTATAGCGCCATTAATACTGATATATATCTAAATTTCTATGCCTCAAGTTAATGTGCATAAAATGGGCCATTCCAGTCAGCATGAATAATGCGGAGAGCGTATGGACCTTAATTATGATATCAAACACAGGAGCGGATCCAGAGATATTTTCTGACAGTCTTCCAAGTTATCTTTGTTGATCCATCTTTAATTTTTGACCGTCTTCTGACAAAAAAATACATACCCGTCAATGTAAACTTGAAAATCTGATCGTCTTCCGGAAGACCCAGAAGATGGCTTTAATCCGCCCCCGAAACATTTCACGAAAACGAAATACTTCAACCTCAAACGTGTCGGTATATTATTTAGGCCATTTTGGTAAAAACGATCCATGTGTCAGCAAAAATTATATAAAATGCCTTTTTATTGGCCATAATAGAAGACATTTTTCTTTTACTAAATTGTTTTCATTTTCATCAAGGATTGTATTTTTTTCTTTTGTAGGTATAGTGTTCATATCCAGGCCAAGCTTTCTCTGGGGAGAGTCAGACGCAGCTGATCCGATAGGTGTCACTCTGGCCATAGCAACTGCCGTGACGTCATCAATTAACATGCTTTTCGGGAGAAAACTGAAGCACGTAGATAGTCTTTTTATTATAGCATCTGTAGGTCTCTTCAGCGGTATTATTTCATGGATAGTTGTTTTGTCAACAGAGGGCGTGTCATTTCCGGTCACGATGTTGGAGTGGTGTGCAGTCGTGCTGAATGGTGTCATGGCATTCACCGCCGCGATTTGCTGCCAGGTGGCGCTGAAGATCGAGAATGTCGTCATCGTAAGTTTAGGGCGCACTTCTGAGCCAATCTTCGTTTTCATCTGGCAGGTGACAATTCTTCATGTCATCCCAACATGGCCGTCAATAGTGGGATCTATCTTGATTTTATCGTGCATTCTCGCTCTTAGTATAAAGAAATGTGCGGGTGCTCAGGGAAACTGTGGTTTTGACGGCAGTCAGGACGCTGTATCAGCCGATAAACAGGGGACTTCTTTTGAAGGCAGTAGGCCCATATTGAACAGCAAAGGAATTACGCTAAACTTAAAGCCTTTTAATTATTTGAAAGATTTAATTCTGTATCATCCTCAACCAAATGTGTACATAGCACAAAAGAGAGATAGGGTAGAAAACACAGCACTTTTAGATAAAAATTGAAATTATGATTAAAACTGATATGACATTTTTCTAGCCTATTGTCTTTTATTATTATTATTATCTTTTCAGTAGGTAGAATTTGTTGTATCATATTACAATGCTGGGTCAACTTTGCTGAATTTTGTTTTTCTTTTTTTTTTTGGGGGGGGGGGGGGAGCCATGGGACAAAAATATATGAAAGTAATATATCAGTACACGAGGACGCGTGCATAGGATTGTTTAAAATAAAGCCTGTGGTATGTATATAGTTTTCTTTTGCAATAAATCCCATTAAAACCACTATTATGACCACATATACTGCATGTCCAAAAAGAAAAGAAGTCAGATTGAACGCCCTTGAACCACCTAAAGCCTTAGATTGGAGCCAAGCATGTCAAGGGCAGCTTCAACAGTTTTGTGCGTTTCCAAAGTATTTTCTTTCCATAAATTCCACTGTCAAATAGCCCAGCATGGACAGCGCCAGGGTCCCCATCAAGATATATAATTTTATAAACACACACAACTTAACGCTGAAGTTATAAGCCAAAATGAACCCGATTGCTCTCCAGAGTCTGTAATTTGAGAAGGCCGCCTCTTGACTGTCATGGAAAAGAACTCCGTATAATACTGAAACGAGAGTAAAGAAGGACACTGGAGAGTGTCTTTTTAGCGCAAGCGTCTGTCAAGTGAAAAATGTAATGAAATTTCTTTTAAAGAAAACTAGAGTAATTTGAAATTGGAATAACTCTTTTCCTTTGTATTCCTGAGTAGTTTATCCTAAAAATTCCAAAAAAATATTGTGAAGAATATTTTGAGATGTCTTGCCTATTTTAATAGTTACTTTAAAGGTACCAAACCCGATGAAATAACAACATCTATTGACAGAGGTAAGAACGAAATGCATTCTCAGTGATATTGGTTAATATGTAAATGGACAATAACGGATTACAAATGTGGAGGTTCAGCCCACCTGGCCCCCTCTTCCAAAACTTAAAAGAGGATTCCATTACCGTCTCTCCTTCTAAAAGTGAACATAAAGGGTCCACTAAAATCTTACAAAAACTGCAAAACATCCAAAAGAACACTTATTTACTTTCCTTGTAATCCTTATACCGCCAGAGGATCAATAAGTGAAAACACACTACCGTTGATCTCTGTTGTCCAGATGGCTACGGCGGCACCCCATAGTCCCGCCAAAACATAAAGAATCAGCAATCCATCCGGTGTGGGTTGCCAGAACAGTAATGTGAAAAGCAACCCATAATGCAAAAGCATTGCTGAAATATAGCAACTACGACTGTGTTTTTGCTCTTAAGAGGCACGAAAATGAATTAGAGAGCATTCACATCGAGAAGAGCCGAGGTCTAGCAAGGCCGAGACCTAAATATGGCGGACCTACATGAAAAGAAAACCGCGTGATCCTTTAATTGTCTCGCCGCCTCTCACACGCCTCCCCACGCATCGTCCCTGCAGGGGCACACTAATTAAATCTCGGCTCAATTCAACCGGTCGTGGGTCGACGATTGGGGAGCCCTGTGAGAGGCGGAGAGACCATTAAAGGATTATGCGGTCTTCCTTTCATGAAGGTCCGCCATATTTAGGTCTCGGCCTTGCTAGACCTCGGTCCTTCTCGATGTGAATGCTCTCTTAAATCGCAGGTAAGATTTTATGGTGTACATATTTTTTACTTTTGTTTCAAAACACACAGGCTTTTGTGATTGGTAACCATCAAGTGGCTTTAAATTTGTGGCTTGTAGCAAAATTCGATGTACGCACGCTCGACAAATTGTTCAAACCTCGTAAGGATTGTAGGCAAGCAAAAGATTATCACGACACTTTTAATAACGGCGACTGGGCGTTAAATAACGTTTGCAGTTCGCACTTACCTAATGTGAAGAAAACCGCCCGCCCCACTCGTTTCGCCAGTCGTCCAATTACAATAGAGATTAGAGAGGTGGTCACACCATACGTCATAGTGACGTACCCCACGTTCCAGAGTCCATAACTGCAGCTCACGAATGACTGGGGTTGTGTTCGAGCAAATAAAAAATAATAATTATAATGCTTTCCTAATGAAATTTTTGTGAACCGACCATCTATGACAGTTCCAAAGCTACTGATGTCAGTTACAAGAAAGTCATAGATCTACATTAAAAAAAGGGTTAAAGAGAAATAAACGGTAAACACAAATAAGGTCTTTAATTTCACCTGGTATATGCCACACCAAGACAATTACATGTACCGGAACAGTTAGATAACATACAACATGTTTTACAGGTATGTGGCACGAAATATACTGCCATGTGTTAAAGGGTTTGTATTTTGTAATTTTCAATGTTTATAAAGAAATTCAAACAAATTTTGCCACGAAATCCCGTATTGGTAAACTTACCTTTGTGAAATCGCTGAAGAAAAACCCTTCTTGCATGGAACAGTTCATGGTTATCGGTATCAGTAGCAACTGCTTGGGTTCCCGCATGTGGTTAAAAGTTGCAACAAATAGGGCACTAGAGAATCTCTTCTTCGGCTGGGATTTTGCTGATTTTTGACGATGAAGATCATCCAGGAATATGGCGACAGCTCCCACGGCGATCAAGCCACAGGCAAAGTATGTGCCGCACAATATCAGGAGCTGAAAACGACTTAGTCATTATTTAGCAAACAAAATAAACGAGCCGTTCAAGATAGAATAACGGTACGAGGAAGCAATCAAACATGGATTAAAAATACAGAAACGGAAGGAAACAGATAAATAACGGTTTAAAATTTAATTCGATATTACCGCCTCTTCACAAAAATAATCATTTTTTAAAAGATTTTTTTTTGCAATTCAGAATCTTAATATACATGTATATTTGCTATACCCATCTTTATATGCGATTGGCAATGTATAATAGCAAAAGACGTGGGTTACAATCTGGGATCCCTTGGTTTAACACTACCCTGAGTGTCAGGGCAATCAATATAAAGCTAGCTTGCTCACTATACCTTTTCATGTGTTAGCTTTACAATACTGCCCATGTGGGCTATGTTTGAAATCAAGATCGAGCTGGCAATATAGAAATCTAGAACTTAGGGTATGTAACATACACCTCGCTCCATGCTATGACAATACATCAGCGACACCATACAGTTCAACAATCCTGCGCTAATGAGTCTCAGATTGAGTCCAGGATATCCTAGTGGTGATTGATATTACTAACAACGAAACTTACCAACAAAACAGGATGCATGTACTAACGATACCCCCTACCAGGTCCACTGATTGATTTTTCGCTCGATATTCACAGATTATGTATCTGGCTAATTATATGAATGTGTCCAATCTTCTACCTGTGGCTGGTGAAAAATGTGCCTATAATGTCTATAATATCTGCCGCCCTGGTAGAAGGTATACCAACGTTGCAGTTCATTTACATATATGTAAATGATGACAGTAGCAGTTGAATAAAAAAAATTGCTAGTTCTTCAGGAACTAAAATATTATCATGAAAACAATACGATGAAGTAGTTGTGGTGAACATTAATAGGAACATTTTTTTAAATAATTTCTGAAAATTACTGATTGGTTTTCCTTTTAAATATTATTTAAGATGAGCCGTACATAACACAGACATTACAACGACAAGACCGAGAAAATAAAAAATAACATAGTGAAAACAAAAAGATGGCTTTTCAAAATGGACAGGGGGGAAAGTCGGTACGTGCGAACGGGGCTGAGAGATAGGCATTACATGAATACTCAATACTGGAGAAACAGTCAGCACCAGTACATCAATATTAGAGGGAAAGTCGGTTCGTGTATGTAGGAGCCCTTAAAAGTACCGATGGCTTTGTTTTCTTTAAAATAAATAAATAAATAAATAAATGTACCTTCTCTTCCGATGGTTTATCCAATCCTGGATTCGAAAAATTTCCAATATTTTCGTCCCCTGTACAATAGGTGGCACCACATCTGCTAAAAACTTCATCAGGAATTTCAGTTTCGTTTTGAGACCTTTGGCTTAATACCAACGATGAAATAAGATTGCCCCAAACTGTGGCTGAAACGAACCACATTTTTCATTATAACAATATCAGAAAATAAAAATACAGTACATGTCAACTACAACATGGAAGCAAAGTGTTTACATTGAAATCCGAAAAACATATAGGCCTACATTTAATTCTATAGTCTATTGAACGAACTTACTTCGCCTCAACAATGATGTATATTGGCTGACATTAAAACATTCAATGTAAAGCAATATGTTTTCGCACTGTGTACAAATTAAGAGATAATTCTCTGTGCTACTGATCACAATGATCCAAAATCTGAATATAGTACTGTGAGAAAAAATAGCGATTTTTTTTCCCAATTTACCTGACAGTTCTTGTATGTTGATAGGGTTACAGGCCCGTAGCCAGCAATTTCAAAGGGGGGGTTCTTTTCCTGGAAAAGTGGACCTTTTATCATATAATCCCCATGTACTTAGGTCAAATTTTACCCAGAGTGGACCTTTTTCCAGCAAAAAGGGGGGTTCTTTCGAACCCCCCGAACCCCCCCTGGCTACGGGCCTGGGTTATTTATGGTGTCAATGGGCAGGCTGGGGTGTTAACTACTGCAATTCTTTTTTTGTCAGGACCAGGCATGGGTGTCGTTCAGTCTGGGACCTCTGGCGGAGGAAGCCACTTACTGTGAGTGGTTTGTTTACAAAGAAGAGGGGTGCACTTATTCAACTACCGCCGGTAAGAAATGAATTAGAAACACTGTAAAAGTATATTTTTGTGCCATTGGGATTTGCGTCAGTGTGTTTGCTGTCCATGGGGATGGGAAATGATTCACCAATTTATCTTCTTCATGCAGTTTTGCAGACATTTCTTAGTATGGCCAATGGGAAATTATTTGGTGGTTTCTTCCCTAATTTTATCTATTCTCTGACCACAGGGGTCGCTGCTAGTCAGTAACAAAATAACAAAAAGTATCTACTTAA